TTCGCATTGCCGAGCACAAGAAGCACACACAGCGAGGAGAAACCAGCAAATCAGGAATAGCAGACCATGTTTGGACCCATCAACACAACATCGAGTGGTTCCAAGCTGAGATCTTGCACAGAGAGGAACATTGGTTCAGGAGAAAATTCAAGGAAGCCGCATACATGAATACATACGTATTCAGTCAAGCTAGCGTAGAGATACGCAACATATGGAAATTCATCAACAAGCGAAAAATGGCCAACTCTCGCCAAACGGTCATTTCCCACTGAATCAGTGAAGCGGATAAAATGGAAAGCGGGGATAAGTGAAAATACTAGAACGACCCATAAATAATCATCTCTCGGAGGAATCAGTCCAGTCATCACCCGAAGACGATTGTGGATACTAACAATCGAAACGTCGTGAACTAAGGTGGCTTGGAATCTCTCAACTTTTTATTTCTATTCTCATATGTATTTTTTGATTTTTTGTTCAAGCGTTCTATTTTCACTGGTATTTTATTTCACTATCATTTCATTTCAGTTTTTTTGCGTAATATAATTGTTAGTTACAGCTATTTATTTTTAATTCTTCTTTTTCAGTTGTTTCAAGGATTTCAAATCATTTTATATATTGGACAATGGGAGTCCGAACTAGTGAAACTCATCATGAAACTTTGTCAATCACCTTCAAACAATCGATTTTCGATACCTTTTGAAATTTAATAATTTTACAACCAAAATGTTGTTGCAATTCACCTCAGATTTCAGTTTGCAATATAATCAAAATTGTCTATCAGTAACAAATTATTGAATTTTGTGCCTCGCTTCACATCTATTCCAAAGAAAGTTGATACTTACCTGCATCAACAATGGCTATTGTATGTTTCTAATCGAAGCAACTAGGATAGAGCGAGAACATAATCTCGGTTTTAAACAAACCAATCTAGTCAGTACAATGAAGGGAAACATTTTGTTCGATTCTGATGATTGTTTCATAATAATTATCTTCACAATCTGCCATTAATTGATACCTACGTATCAATCCTACATTCGGATTTGTTAATCGTTCAGGTGAGAAGATTTCTGTCAGCAATGACATTGACCGTTTTAAATAACGCATCCCTATTCTACTCGAGCCCTGTCCTACGTAAATATAAGTGCAGAATCTCGAGCAACAAAAACAGTTAATAACAATCAGTGGAACAAAGCAGAATGAAAGTACTGGTAAGTCATAACTATCCGAGTGTAGTGAGAAATTTGCATGATATCGATTGTAAGTTCAGTTGAATTGAGAAATTTTCGTATTGGTTTAATTTTTTTCCAAAAGTTCATGATAAAATGAATTGTTTTTCCGTTTGATTGTTGTCACTGATGATGGTGGTGATTATTTCAAATGAAACGCTATAGAAATATCAAATGATATACAGTGTCATCCCCAAAGTATGCACCATATGGGAAACTTATTTAATAAGGGTTTTTCAACAAAAAGTTATTCTTGATAAAAGTTTATGCATCCCCTGAAACTGAACATGCACCAATAAAATACAGTAAATCTTACATAATATACGAGGAGCCTTCAAATATTTGATTTTGAGACAAGAGTGAAGTACTCCCATGTTGAAAAATGTCGGAAAATATTACTTAGAAAAGTTATTCACCATTGAATTGAGTCATGGTCATCTAAGTGAAGTTTTATTTATTTACTAATTTCTTTAAAATGGGGACTACAAAAAAAATTGCTAAAACGATAAATAGACAGCATCCTGTATACGGTGGTTTATTTTAAAAGCCTGCAATATTACAAATCACACAACTATGGTGTTAACCAAAATGCTGAACAACTTTTCTAAATAACATTTTCCGAAATTTTTCAAAATAAGAATACCTTACTCTTTTCTCAAAATAAAATATTTGAAGGCACCTCGTATATTAAGTTTGTTTTACTGTATTTCATTGGTGCATGTTTAGGAATACACAAACTTTTGTCAAGAATAACGTTTTGTCTTAATAAATAAATTCCCCATATGATGCATACTCTGGGGATGACACTGTATACCCTTGGATTGCCAAATTATCACTTTATCAATATCTGTAATGAAAACACAGGTCCGTATTTAAAGAAAAACTTGATGGTGGCCATGTTGACACGAAATGTTTTATGGAATATTTAACATTACATCGTCACAGTACACTTCAAATACAATAAAATTTTCTTTTTTTTTTTGATATTTTCCGAAATAACAATTTCATTCGAAAAAAAAATAAATACAGCATTTTTAGTTTTCCCTGTATAACTCGAGAAGGGCAACAGTCGCGGTAAATTTTCTTCGACCATTGTATTGTTTCTGATGATAGTTACTTTTTTTACCATTTATTCATCTTCGTATCTGTTACGGTTTAGAATATAGTAACGTTGCCACATGATAAAAGAAACGGCCTCTATTAACGACACTTCTTGAATCAACTCATTTTAAAGAGATGACATGCCAACTGATGTTTTGGTTTTTAAAGTATATTTATATTTTGACGAATTGTGCTGTCAAAAGTTGATCTCTGGAAAGTACGGTAATTCAAAACACAGTTGAAGCACTTCAACTCATTTATTGAATTTCATCAGTTCGGACTTCCATTGTCTAATAAAATATAAAATTGATTTGGCCATTGAAGAAGCCCACAAGAAGCCCCGAGTCTGGTTGAGATACGTAGACGACACCTTCATTATATGGAACCATGGTAATGCAGAACTAGACACTTTTCTGAAGCACATCAACAACGTAAGTCCTTCCATCACTTTCACAATGGAGAAGGAAATCCACAACAACAATCCACAACAAATGGGAAACACGGGTCAGTATCTGAACCAGAAATCCAACCACCATCAATCGACTAAGACAGGAATCATCAAGACTCTACTAGACCGTGCCTTCAGGCTCTGTAATACAAAGGAAGGTCTCGATAAGGAACTAGGCATCCTCAAAAATGACCTTCAACGGAATGTTTACTCCAAAGTGATGGTAGAACAGGCTTTAGCTAGAAGACAGCAAGAGCTCCACAAGGAAGAGAAGCCTCCACAACCAGTACTTGTACTTCCCTACATCAGTGGATGATCGGAAAGGATAAGAAGGATTGGATCCAAATATGACATCAGGAACTGCTTCAGATCTGGTAACACTATCCGTAGCAGCCACACGAAAACAAGGCCACCAAACGCGGACTTCGATTCCAAGAATTGAATTTACTGGATACCGGAGTGTGGAGAATTATACATCGGTGAATCTAAGAGACCATTGGAAGTTCGCATTGCTGAGCACAAGAAACACACACAGCAAGGAGAAATCAGAAAATCCGGAATAGCAGAGCATGTTTGGACTCATCAACATAATATCATGTGGGCTCAAGCTGAAATCATTCACAAAGAGGAACACTGGTTAAGCAGAAAATTCGAAGAAGCCTCGTATATGTTGTCCAACAACGCATTTAGTCAAGCTAGCCTAGAGATACGTAACATATGGAAACCTCTAATTTAACGAAAAACGACCAACTCCCGCCAAACGGTCATCTCCCGCTAAAACAACTGAAGCGGAGAGAGGGAAGAAGGGATAGGTGAAAGCAGTCGAATGACCTACAGTGTGAGCCATTTTTAATGTAAACACCCCCCTAAAATTTGAAGTTGTAAACCGATTTTAATAATTTTTTTTGAAATGTCAAGTACTAAAAGGTCTACCTTGGGACAAAATTTGGGCATACTAGCGATTTTTTTATTGAAAAAAATCACTACGCCACTGGATTCAGAGTGCCTATAACAAACAGTCATTGAGTGTAACAAATTGAATGTCAAATTTAGAAACATCAAAGTCAAAGCCTAT